ATCAGTTGACTGCAGAATGTCATCAGGACAAAGCCACCAATGCCTGATAGCAACATTGGTTAGGGAATGTATTTGAAGGAAATGAAATTTATGAAACAGTTGAGAGAAAAACAAGGGAAACAGGAACAAAAGAGTGATATAGAAAAGGATAGAAAAAGTTTGAGCAATGCAAACATATAAAACAAATGAAATAGCTATTTATTCTGGTCCCAGGTAATTTTTTGAGTTTGATCCTCACTTAGTGTTTCAGCAATAACTTTCTGATATTTTTCTTTTCAGTCACTATGCTGTCAACTATTTAGTGTAGCAGTTGTATAGTCTATCTTTTCCAATGCTATTTCATTTCATATAGTCTATATTTTTGTCCCTATGAGAATACTTGAACTTGTCAGACCATGTAGGCATGTTTTATGATTCAAAAAATATGGTCACAGTACAAAATCCACATCAAAATAGGCTTGAGAGTTTGCCATGGAGAATTTACTTCAACTGCCCTTCAAGAGTACTGAAAGAGCCCTAGAGCCTTACAACAAGGTTACAGTGTAGCACTGTGGTTAGGGATGGGAACCATGTGTCCTGGATTTGCATGCTTATACTGCCGTTTAGTCACTATGGCCATCAGCATGTGACCTAACCTTTTAAAATCATGGTTTCCTCATTGAAAATAAGGATCATTAAGCAACAAACTTCAAAGGGTTTTAATGAGACTAAAAGCATTATGGAAATGCTCAATAAGTGGTAGCTATTATTTTTATTGTTAAGTTTATTAGACAGCAAATAATTAGATATCAACATCTAAGGCCATATAAAATTATCTAGGCATGGCTAAAACAAAAATGGTCATGCTAAAGATCTTTGGTAAGAATTCTATTCCTTCTTTCGATTCCATATTATTGTCAGAGTTAGCTCTCCAACTTGAAAAGAAGGATGGTCTATCCATCTTGGACAGACCACTATTAGAATATTCATTATTAGCAGGTATCATTAAAAGGTTTCCAATTACCTTTCTTGCAACTGATTATAATTATAGTACAGGTTAAGTCATTAAAAATCATAAAGGAGAATAGAGTTTCAAAGAAGCAAAACAGAAGTCATGCTACTTGTTTATAAATGCAATGAAAATTTTTATGCTTGTATTGTTCCCTTGGGCTAAATTGTAAGAAGTGCACTATAGACGTAGGCATTTTAAGATCTTTGATATATTTCTTAGATTGTTTTCTAAAAGTGTTGTGCTCACTCATACTCCTAATCAACAGTGTTCTGAGACTGGGCCTCTTCACACCCTTATTGGCACTCAGTTATTTTTTTTTAATTAAAGGACATTGGAGGTCAAATTTGTAAATTAAATAGCATGATTACATTCAGTCCTCAGTTATTAATGGAGACACTATTTGGTCAGTATTTTTTTTCCTAAAGCTAAAATTAATTTTGTTTGTTTTATTTTGAAAAGTTTAAACAAAGTTTATCAGGTTTGTTTTTAGAATTGCCTTGAAAAAGGCTTGTTTGGTTCTGTAGCAATGAAGTTTGACTGCAAGAGGGAGATCTTACAACTTTGCAATTGGTCATGGGAATACAGAGCAGCTCTCTATTACTCTTCTGAATCATCACCCTAAGTCATGTCAAAGGTAGTCAAAGAGTGTAATTCAGTGGCTTAAATAGACAGAGAAGGTACTACGGTTACTTGGAGCATCTGACTGGAGACCTCTTCCTAGGCTCAGTGTACTAATCTAATTACTAGTCTGAATTGAAATGAAAATGTTCCAGTACTATATTTTTAACTTTGTTAGTGGCATGAATTATGTTTTTATTTACTCTAAAGCACTGTGAAGGATCTATTTCAAGTCCATTCTGTGGTTTTTATTTCAAATGAATCCTAGGTGGCCTGCTTGACTGTAGCTGAATTTCAGTGTTTATATTCACTACTCCTCAAGAGGAGAATTGAATGGAAACCTGTGGTTACCATGCCAGTGACTACTCATTAGTAGGCATCTTTCTTATCTAAGACAGTGATTGGAATGGCATGATAGTTGTGAAAAGAAAACCTCAGTTAATACTTCTTTGACCATCTATTTAGAACTGCAAGTGCCCCTCTGTCTACATTCCTTACTTCCTATCTCTATTCAGGGTTTTTTCCCTATTTAAGTGCCATCTCACATACTGTGTATATTTAAATGTTGTGTTTATTGTTTTTCTTACCCTGCCAAAAATAAGTTGCATACTGGCAGGGATTTTTGCTTTTCTTTTCATTGCTTTATCTCCTGTGTTTAGGAGAGTGCCTGGTAGCATATTTCTAGAAAACACAATGAAAAGATGAAATATGTGGATGTGACTAGTTTTTTTGAGGATAAATGCTAAATTATGTTTAAATTTTGACTCACATCTCTCAAAGGTATAGCAATCTAACATAATGCTAACCAAAGCTATTCAAATGCAAAAGCATATCTAGTAATATGCAAGGTGTTTTAGGTAAAGTATTTTTATTTAACACAGACATTTCCAAAGTCAGAGTTCAGTACCTGTCCACCCATGATCATCCATTACAATTAGGGAAATCTGACATTCTTGGTAATGCTGTTATCTGTTTCCTCTTTTCACTCAATAATCTCAATGTTTATTATTGAAAATACTTTTATGAACTAAATACATTGGCTTATTGAAAGAACTCCTTTAGCCTTTTTTACATAAGGAATTTTTTATTATATATTATTTCTTATACATAAGAAAGAAAATATAAACAAAATTGTTCCTAAAACATTTTATATTCAGTGGATGACTCATTAAATCTCTTTGCCTCAGAGTTATCAATGTGTTTTACTCCATGCAGCATTGCCCTCTGTGCTACTAGAAGTGGTAGTGCAATGTTCATTAAAAGAATGTTGCATTATTGTCTCTGGGACTTTCTTCCAAGCCAGTAATACCCATTGTGCAACTTTTGATGCTGGCATTTTCCTGACTGTAAAGACTCACTATGAATTCAGATATGAAAATGTGGGGGAAATAAAGGAAACATCTCAGAACAGGTAAAATAAGGTAGATTTGTTAGCTAAGTACTGGGTGCACAGGGGTTTATTATGTGTATATAACATGACTGTTGGAAGAAGTCATTAAAGTATGTGACCGTTGGTTGCTCTGAAAGCTGAAGCTGGGCTATTGGAAGTTTCTCACTGTTTCCCCTATCCTTGGAATGTACTTTCTGCCCATTGTTCCCACATTGGGAACAATTTTCAATGGCACAGACTTGAGAGAGCCATGTTTTTGAGACCATCTGGATGGCATGCCATGATTGAACCCAGTTAAGGTCTCTTTGCAAACTTTAAGATTTTGGTGGTTAGGTGTGAAAATCTATTCATTTTTCAGCCAACTAAGACAAGCCTCCTACACACCTTCCCTTGCTTATTGCACCTGCCATCTACCAACCTGGAGTGGATTGGCTTTCTTCCTTCTCTCCTTGCCTTCCATGTACAGGGACCAATTTACAAACCAACAATGTCATAACAAAAAGTTAAATGAAACTTGAAAGGTAGGTTGGGACTTGCTTATGCCAAATCTTATATTTCATGCTAAAGAGATTTTTTTACTTTATTCTAGAGAATGGGTATCTAAAGAAAGTTCTTAAGAAGGACAGACACAAAACCAAATTTGCTGAATTTAAAAGATAACTGATAACAATATGCAGTATAGACTAATTATGGCTAGATGAAGTGTTAAGTACTGAGAGAAATACTGAGGGGACAGCACAGGATGAATGTGGGTGATTGCCAAGTAGGACAGGGAACTGGATGAGTGGCTAACATTCTGTAGTATTTCATGAATAAATACCAGATACATCCTGGCTTGTTTATCTCATCTTTGTGAACATCAAATTTTAAAATAAATTACACTGAACTCTTAATGTGTTTTGTATCTAAATGCAATGATAAGCCTTTATTTTAGAGGTTCTAAAAGTTTATGTTGGGATGTAATCTAATATTTAGACATAACTAAAAAACAATTGACACAGTTAGACTTAATCAAATATTTAGTTTTGAAAACTATAAAGCATTTAGTCCATGTCTCAAATGCAAAAACCTCAAAATAGTCTTTATTTTCAAAGATATAGTTCAAATGTAGGTCTACAGTGCAAGTGATATGTGTGCAGATGTGTAATTAGTCAGTATCTATTAAAGTCCCATGGTAATTGGCATATGGTATTATAAAACAGTACATAATAACATATGATGACTCTAATTAAGGGTATTGACTTAAGACTTTGTCTTTAACGACCCTCAGTGAATACTGAATGAAAGGTAAACTAAAGGTTCATTAAGCTATGTTCAGAAGAAGAAAAATGTTCTCAAATGGCATATGTACAGTGAGGTTAAGTGGATTTTTTAAGATCTCTTCTTCAGTGTTTTGTTTAGTTTCTTTTTCTAGTGGTAAGTCTACCCCAAACTCTTTGAACTGCTTTACAAAATTTAAAAAAGAGCATTAATTTTCACAGTTTATAACAGTTTAAGTTTTAAAAGTGTAAAAATGTGTAAAACAATTGGAGAACACTTGAAATTTGGCTGTTTCTACATGAAAGTGACCTTTAGTGTGGTTTTGTTTAATGTTCTGGTGTCTGAAAGGGAAAGCAAAGCAGAAAGGAAAACAAAAACAATGTATGCAATGGAATTAGATGAAACATCTGCAGCACCCAGCATTTTTACATTCTTACTAGCCAGCATTTGAGTTGTACTTTAAAGTTTATATGGGAATTCAAAGAAAATTGCAGATAGGAATGTTTCTGACTTTTAGCCTATTCCTAAAAGGGTCAACAAGGCATTTTTAAAAATTGTAAAAATGTAATGAATTTGAGCTTTTTCATATTTACCATTCTAATACCATTAGTAAGCATATAGATAGGGACAATGCTATTTATTTAGTGATACCGTTATAAATTTCAGCAACAATCTACTTCTCTGGCACAAGAATATTTACTAATAGAGTCAGCAGCCTTTTTTTTTTTTTTTTACATTTTTAGTCTTTTATTTTTTTAAGTAAAGAAATCCCCTTGAATCAAAGATAACAAAATTACAGTTTTTGTTTGTAATGATCTTTACCACCACACAGAATCAGAATAGAACCAAAAGTAACATGGGAACACAAAATGATCAAGGACACCATGGTTCAGTATAATTTCTTAATAAAGGTAAATATCCTCATATTTAGAAAAAGTTGCATTGCTAGTTGCAAATCTTAAACACCTCAGTGCTGGAGGACCCAGTATTTACCACCACCACCCCTAAAATCCAGCAGCACAGAGGTTTTCAGAACACAAACTCAAAAATACATTATTTTCAGGGCAGCATTTGAAGTGTCAGAAAATCCAAACAAGAAGAAATAAACAAAACTTTGGAATGTGAAAGGGATGGTTCTCAAAAATCAATCTGGAAGCAGATCTGCCAACAGAAGAACGTGGCTGAATGGAGTCTTCCCAGGAAAGGGGAGATGCAAACGGGCTCCCACCCCCTCCCCCTGCCCCTGGTGTCGCCAAGGCCGCTGCAGTGGCAGAAGTCAGAAGCTCAGGTACAGTGAAGGTCTTTCTGAGGTAGTGGGAGGGACCCAGGTCATTTGGGACCCGTGTGGGGAGGTGACCGGATTCGACTTGCACTTTAGGAAAACAAAAAGGCCAGAACGAAAACCAAACCAAATCCAACTTCTACCCCCAGGAACTTGGTCCTCCCCATGCGAACAGCCCGGGAGGGAAGCCGCTGGCTCTGGGATGGAGGGCGTCAGCAACTATTACTCTAGGTGACTGGTGGGGCTGCTCAAGTAGGGGTCTGGAAAGAGAATGCCCACTGAGATGAAGGGTATTTCTCCAGGTGCCAGAAGCAGAGGACATCTGGGAGGAGGCATCAGCTGCCCTTTTTTTTAAATGGTTTTGAGTCTAACATCCTGCCTATAAGAAAAAACTTTACTTTTCTAAAACAAAAAATCAAGGATGGGTGTGCATGTTTTTTATGAGCAAATGTGAGACTATGGATAGGAAAGTGAGGGATCATTAACCTTACCAATGGACAATAGATCCTGGAAGCAAAATATTTCCCTACTCAAAAGTTTCCCTGGTGTAAGTGTAGAATATATAGGTTTACTTCTGTCTGCCTTTCTGGCAACTTTTTGCGCCCAGCCAACAGACTACCAGCACTCTTACTGGGACAATAGTAAAATTCAAGGAATTTTGGCTGGGGTTTAAGAAAGGCATTTGTAATAAAAGGTGAATCAATAATAATAGGCATTTGCAGTAAACTTTAAAACAGTTTTATTGAGATAAAAATCACATATAATAAAATTTACCCATATGAAGTATACAAATTAATTGTCTTTAATATATTCAGGGGTGTATAACAATCACCATAGTCAAATCAAGTTTAGAATATTTTCTTCACTTCAGAAATAAAGTTCTCATTCAGTAGCAGTCACACGATTACTCCTTCTTTCCTCTAGTTCCCATGTCTCAAACCTATGCCACTAATAGTCTGCTTTCTGTGTCTTTAGACTTGCCTTTTCTGGATCTTTTCTGTAAGAATCATATAATATGTGGTCTTTTGTGAATGATTTATTTCAAGATTCATCCATGTTATAGTATGTGTCAGTATTTAATTCATTTCATTGCTGAATAGTATTCCATTGTATATGGCTATATATTGCATTTTATTTATCCTTCCGTCATTTGATGGATATTTGGATTATTTCTTCTTTGTGGTTATGAATATGATACTCTGAAACATTTGTATACAAATCTTTATGTAGATATGTTTTTATTTCTCTTGCATACATACCCAAAAGTGAATTTCTAGATCATATAGTAACTGAATGTTTAACCTTTTGAGGAAATGCCAAACTGTTTTCCAAAGCAGCAGCACTATTTTTCATTTCCTCTAGCAATGTATGAGAGTTCCAATTTCTCCACATCCTTATTGACATTTATTATCTGGTTTTTTGATTATAGCTACTTGGAGTGTGGTGTGATCTCTCATTGTGATTTTGAAGTGCATTTCCTTAATGATTAATAACATTCAGCATCTTTTCTTATGCTTATTAGCCATTTGTATATCTGCTTTCAAGAAATGTCTACTTTGCTTCATTGTCCATTTAAAAAATTCGGTTGTCTTTTTATTATTGATTTGTAAGTGTTCTTTATATATGGTAAGTAAAGTCCCTTTTCAGTTTGGATTTGACAGTGTTTCCTCCCATTCTGTGGGTTGTCTTCTTGATGGTGTCCTTTCAAGTTCAAATGTGCTTTTGATGAAATACAATTTATTTTCCTTTCTTTAGTTGCTGGTGTTTTTGCAATAAATTTTTGAGAGAGAGAAATGTTGAGGAAAAAATATACTGGGCCTTAACTATGTGTAAGTTTTCTAAAGTGCTTTTGAATGAAAGTATCTGGATTAAATTAAATGTCTGGGACTAAAGTGAGAGGTGAGATGTTTAAGTTAACAACCTAAGTCAAACAAAGAATGATTTTGAACCTTTGGAACAGGGACAGCCTAGGGAAAGTGGCTCTTTATATGTATATCCTCTGGAACAAAGTAAGATGAATATGCAAGTTTCTTCCTGAGACTTGAGAGGAGGGATCCCTGAAGGAGCAGCAGATATAAAGAGTCAACTTTTAACTATTATTATTTACTTAAACTGTAGAATACCCTTGATATTTTATTTTAGCTTGCTGCCTTTAACATTTAATTTTAGCAAATATAAGAATTGTTATACTCTAAAGACACTATTTCAGATATCCCAGAAGCATTACAAATTCTTTTCATATAACTACTAAGTTATTTCTGTGGGTATTACAGTTAATCTAACCCTGATTTTTCTTTAAAGGTCTTAAATTATTAAACTGTAAACTATGCTATCAAGCTAGTTTCCAGGTTTTTATTATCACCTTAATTTTAACCTTAATTTTCCAAGTTGGCAAGGTCTACTGTATCAATAAGACAGCTAGAATATGTGTCTTCTTAAGACAGATGTCTGCTCTCCTTAAATTAGCAGCATTTACATATATATATATCAGTATAAGCTTATTCAGGCACAATTAAAGCTGCCTGGTATTATGGTTTTTATAGGCAAAACATTGAAATCTAAAGTGTTATGGTTATTTGAAAGAAGAGTGTGTGTTTTCTTCATGAGTTCATTTGACATATTGAAACATGTATGTTACTGCTTACTATGGTAGCAAGTACAAATTAAAATGGGATTCAAACCCTTGGTAATTCTGTTTATGTTTTTGATGCAGACTTCACTTGGTCCAATGCCTATGAAATCTCTCCTTTGCATCCAACTCTGCTAAATTTTTTTTCATTTACTTTTTAAAAATATTATTGATATACAGTATTATAATGGTTTCAGGTGTACAACATAGTGATTAGAAAATTATATGCTGACTAAATGCTCACCTCAGTAAGTGTACTTACCATCTGTCAACATTCAATAACATTATAATATTTTTGACTAAATTCCCTATGCTGTACTTTCATCTTTGTGACTACTTTATTTTCTAGATGGAAGTTTGTACGTCTTGAACAGCTTTACTTCACCCATCCCTTCATCCCCCTTCCCCTAAGGCAACCACCAGTCTGTTCTTTGTGTGTGAATCTATATATCCAATTTGTTTGTTCATTTTCTTTGTTTTTAGATTCACATGTAAGTGAAATCATGGTATTTATCTTTCTCTGACTTATTTCAACTAGAATAACCCCCTAGGTCCATCCATGTTGTTGCAAATGGCAAATTTTCATTATTTTTGTGGATCAGTAATATTCCATTATTCTTTATTCATTGTTCTTTATTCATTTATCTGTCCATGAACACTGAGATTTTTTCCATATTGTAAATAATGCTGTGGCAAACATAGGGGTGTGTGTATCTTTTTGAAATAATGATTTTGTTTTCTTCAGGTAAATTCCCAAAAGTAGAATTACTGAGTTGTATGGTATTCCTATTTTTAGTTTTTTAAGAAATTCCCATACTGATTACATACTGACTGCACCAATTTGTATTTCCACCAACAGTGCATGAGGGTTCCTTTTTCTCTACCGCTTTTCCAACACTTATTTCTTGCTTGTTTTGATAATATCCATCTGATCAGTGTGAGGTGATATCTCATTGTAGTTTGCATTGCAATTTCCTGATGATTACTGATGTTGAGCATCTTTTCATGGACCTTTGGCTATCTGTATGTAATCTTCAGAAAAATGTCTATTCAGGTCAGCTGCCTATTTTTAAATCAGATTTCTTTTTGGTGTTGAATTGCCTGACCTCTTTGTGTATTTTGGTTATTAGCCCCTTCTTTGACATATCATTTGCAAATATCTTCTCCCATTTATTAGGGGTTGCCTTTTCATTTTGTTTATGGTTTCCTTTCCTGGGAAGAAAGTTTTTAGTTGATGTTGTCCCATTTATTTTTGCTTTTGCTTCCTTTGACTAGAGAGACATATCAGGAAAAAAAAAATTACTAATGCTGATGTTCAAGAATTTAGGGCCTATGTTGTCTTCTAGGAGTTTTATGGTTTCACGTCTTATATTTAGGTTTTTAATCCATTTTGAGTATACTTTTGTGAATGGCTTAAGACAGGACCCAGTTCATTCTTTTCATGTAGCTGCCCAGTTTTCTACACCGTTTATTGAAGAGACTGTCTTTTCTACATTGCATATATTTGTCTCCTTTCTCATATATTAATTGGTCATATAAATGCAGGTTTATTTCTGGGCTCATTCTGTTTCATTGATCTATGTGTTGTTTTTGTTGCAGTTATCATACTGTTTTGATTATGTTAGTTTTATAATATAATTTTAAATCAGAATGCATGGTACCTGCAGCTGTATTCTTCTTTCTCAAGATTGCTTTGCCTATTTGGGGTCTTTTGAGGTTCCATTCAAATTTTAGGATTATTTGCTCTAGTTCTATGAAAAATCCCATTGGTATTTTGATAGGGATTGCCTTGTATGTGTAGATTGCTTTGGGTAGTATGGCCATTTTAACAATGTTCTTCCTATCCCGTGAGCATGAAATACTTTTCCATTTATCTGTGTTATCTTCAATTTAATTCATCAGTGTTTTATAATTTTCAGAGTATAGGTCTTTTACCTCCTTGGTTAGATTTATTCCTAGGTATTTTATTATTTTGGATGTAATTGTAAATAGTATTGTTTTCTTAATTTCTCTTTCTGCTAGTTTGTTATTTGTATATAAAAGTACAACATATTTCTGCATACTGATTTTGTATCCTGCAACTTTACTGAATTAATTTATTCTAAATTTTTTTTGTTGGAATCTTTAGGGCTTTCTATATATTGTATCATGCCATCTACAAATAGTGACAATTTTACTTCTTCCTTATCAAATTGAATGTCTTATTTCTTTTTATTGTCAAATTTCTGTTGTTAGGACTTCCGGACTGTGTTGAAATAAACATGGTGAGAGTGGGCAACCTTGTCTTGTTCCTAATCTTAGAGTAAAACTTTCCAACTTTTCACAAAGAAGTATAATGTTAACTGTCTGTGGATTTGTCACATATGGACCTTATTCT